TAGCGTAATGGCTATGTCGCTGGACTCCCACGTAGTCGACTGCAGTTTGAGTCCTGGACCCGGTGGCTTAAAGTCACACCGGGCGCGTGTGCGTGCGTGCCCAAGATCCCGAGAGGAGAATGGAGGACAGGGGATTGCGGTGTGGCCATCCCCCCTGGGGGGTGATTTCTCGCTTTCTATTTCTCTGTCTCTCTCTGTCTGGCAAGCACACGCGCCCTATAGCAAAAACCTGTCAAACAAACAAACAAACAAACAAAAAAACAGTTGTTTTCCTGAATAACGATATCCACTGCCATTAAAATTAGCAGTTATTTCTACCAAGCGGTAAAAATGGTTGGTTTTAGGCAGCTCTGAATGAGCTCAGCCTTTTTGGAAAACCACTTTGCAGTTCAGAGCAAGAGGCCATATAGTGCTCTTGTACCTGGCATTGCTACTCCGTAAGGGTTATCCTAACACCGTTGTTACATAGATACAAAAGTATTTATTTTAGCAATATATATGAGAACAATAATCAAATATCCAAGCTTTGGGAGAATTATTTTATAAATTATGAGGCAATTAAAAAATCGTAAGTTTGAATATAGTATAGAAGCCTGAAAAATGTTATAAATAGTTTTAAAGTGTGGTTTCTTAGATGATATGTAACATGAATATAATTAAGGTAGAGTAACAGATAAAAGGAATGTTTTCTGATTTTCCTCTTGGTTGTCTTGCCCTTTTAATCAAAAAGAAAAGAATGCTGGAAAAATATTAGAAAATAACAATTTTGGATTATTGGATTCTCTGCTGCTGATGGCTTGTCCAATGGAGAAAATCTGTTTGTTCTTATCTAGAGGATAAGAAAGAAAAATTAATTTGTGACATTAGAGTGTAATTGGAATTTGATAAGCTTTTAAGAAGTAGAAAACTTGAAGACCGAGACTAGATATATTCTAATCTGCATACTAAAATAAATTTCTATTTCTTCAGGGGTGGTGAAAAATGAATATTTATATGAGAGATTTTTATTTCAATATTCAAATAAAGAATAAATTAGCAGAAGAGAAACCTTTGATTTTTCTTAACTAAAATTTTAATTAGGAAAGGAAATGTTTTTTAATATAATGATTTATTAGTTCGTCTTTGATTTAGTAAATGTGTGATGAGTTATAGTTAACTGCATTTATTTCATGTGTATATATATATTTATACACACATATAGAGACTATTTTACAGTCTGAATTAAAACAAGAAAAATCATGAGGAACACTTTTATATATACATATGTATAACATACGTAATTGTGAGGAGCGGTGAAAGAGATATATAACAGACATACAATTCTTCCTCACAATTATTTTGTTTTAGTTTAGATTTTAAAATAGTGTCTCTACCCTGTACAGAATAGATGTTGCCCCAGATTTTTCTGAGAAGGAAGCCCATACTGGATCGTTGCTAAGTGACTCATTCTCTGCATTGTATTCCTAGTGAATAATCAACTTTGTAACGAGATTATCCTGTTACACTTTCTGAACTGCTGAGCCGCCTCCCTGTTGGAGCAGGTGACCAACCTGACCTGTTCCTTCTCTCCAGAACGTTGCAGGGACTCACCCAACAGCCTGACAAGGCAGTTTCTCTTTATTCTTTAATCCGTGGCTCCTGTGCCAGAGTTCACTCCGACTGACCTTCCTGGTCTCAGCTCTGACGGGCTGTAGTTGAGCTGGTTATGTAGTACCACGGGTGTCCCTCGAGCCGACTCCCTCAAGCCTGCCCAGGTAAAGCACCTGTGTCCCAGCTCCTTGGGAGGCTAAGGCAGGAGGGTTGAGGCGCGGTGAGGCCACGTCTAGAAGGAAAACCGACCTACGTAGTCCTGTTGGTGCATAGGGTAGACGGGTCTGTCCCTTACACACGCACCCTTAATTACAGAGTCATACTTCGCTTATGTTCGCTGTTTGTGTCTCGCCTGGCCCAGCCTTGCCCCGCTTAGATGTGCCGAGTGAGTCAGCGCCTTCCACCCTGTCCCACCTGCCTCATTAGCCTCCAAACCTCAGTTCAGCAGTCAGCGTACTTAGAAATTTCCAGGATGTTTCCATTCTCGGTAGGACTGGTAGGGAGGACAGGGGACAGCACGCCATTTCTCTCGTAAAAGTAGCAGGTTTAAGTCACTCCTATGTAGCCCCCTTTCAAAAGATGTTATATATATATTCAAGGATTTTACAGTCAGAGCACAAAGAAAGAGTAGAAAAAAAAACAAGGCCCAAATAACCCCTGAAATCAAGCCTTCATGTAATTCCCTTAACAAAAAGTAGGGTGTGCATCCTAACAAGTAACATTGTCCTCAGGTTCTCCTGGTCTGAAAGACCCCTCCCTGAAAAGAGAACAGAAGTTTCTTTTCTGATCTGTATCTGAAATGCATATGTGATACCTAAAGTAGGAGAGACTTAATAAATACCACCGATGAGTTTGTAAACGAAGGAAGGAAGGAAGAGAAAAGAGAAATGAAACCAAAACCAAAACCATCAAGAAAAACAACGATCAATTCTTGTCATATTTCATTCTTTTCTACTTATTTTAGCCACGCTTCTATGCTTGAGAATGATCAGTTTTAATGGAAACATTTACTTCTTATTCTATTGTCATGTGATACCAAAAAAACTAAGAATGTTAAATCAAACGACTCTAAGGATGTTGTTTGAAGAGTGTGGGAATAACTACTGAAGTCGGATCGCAGTTTGGAGAAGCCATGTTGGATGTCTCTAACACCTGTCTACGCAGGGTCCTTCCTTGTTCATTTCACTATGCGTTCAGCAGTTTGCTGGATTTGGACAGTGGATAGCTAATGAGGTGCTTTGTAAGCCAAGACCCAAAGCCATAATAGATTGGATTCGCTATTTGCTTTCTTTCATATCAGTGGTAAAAAGAAATCAGATTAATTTTCTCTTTATTCTTTTGATACTTTCCTTGAGTTTCTGTTCTCTTCAAAATTAAAGTTTGCTTTTCTCTTTCATTTTTGCCTATTTTTATTACTTACCTCATGTGTCTGTCTTCAGATTATAAGTAACAATTACGCCGTTCTTCCCTGTGAAGCCTCGGTGTGCACTTGTTCCATGTAGAGATGCGGTCCTTTTGCTTAGGCAGCAGAAAACATAAGGAAGCAAGCACCTCAGACATTTCTCGTGAAGTACGGCTGAAGGTGTGCTTGCTTCAGCCAGAAGAAAACTCAGGTCGTGTGCAGGCAGTGACAGACCACGCACGGTGTTGCAGCTCTTCGCAGGCCAGACGATGTTCTCTCAGCACCTCCTTTCAGAGATTTTGACTATCAGTGACTGTAGTGTTAAAGTCTGTAAGCCCATCAGTCTGTATGCAAAATAGTGTTCAAGTATCAGCTACCGTACAGTTTCGAATGGCAGTAAAAATGTTGACTGTGCTCTTGGAAGCTCCGACTTAGACTCGGCCCCAGAGCAGCTGTCCCCTTGTGGGTATTCCCTGAGCGACCAGAGTCTGTTCTTTCATTTTCATTTTTTTTTTCATTTAAATTTAAATTTTTGTTTTTGCTACAGAGTGCATGCTCTCACCAGAGAGAGACAGGGAGCGAGAGGGAAAGTGAGAAATCAGTTTTCGGTGCATGCTCTCACCAGAGAGAGACAGGGAGCAAGAGGGAAAGTGAGAAATCACTTTTCGGGAGGAATGGCCACACCACAATCCCTTCTTCATTTTCCTCTCAGGATTTGGGGCACACATGCGCATGCACCTAGTGTAGATTTGGTTTTAGTTGTTGTTGTTGTTCATTTTCCTCTCAGGATTTGGGGCACACATGTGCATGCACCTAGTGTAGGTTTGGTTTTAGTTGTTTTTTTTGTTTTTTTTTAAGAGACATTTTTTCTATAGGGCATGTGTGCTTGCCAGAGAGACAGAGTTAAAACTCACGCCGGCACCTGTGCGTGCATGCCCAAAATCCCAAGAGGAAAGTGGAAGAGAAGGGATATCGGTGTGGCCTCAGGATTTGGGGCACACATGTGCATGCACCTAGTGTAGGTTTGGTTTTAGTTGTTTTTTTTGTTTTTTTTTAAGAGACATTTTTTCTATAGGGCATGTGTGCTTGCCAGAGAGACAGAGTTAAAACTCACGCCGGCACCTGTGCGTGCATGCCCAAAATCCCAAGAGGAAAGTGGAAGAGAAGGGATATCGGTGTGGCCATAACCCCTAGAGCGTGATTTCTCACTTTCTGTCTCTATGGCGAGCGCACATGTCCTATAAGAAAAATCTTTTTAAAAAAAAACAAAAAACAAAAACAAAAACAATAACTAGATAGAAGTGCGGTGTGGCAGCACCTGCAGCAGTTATGTTCGTGGGCTAAGCGTTAGCCTGACAGACCCTGTGCTGTGTATGAAGCGCAGCTGAACAGCTGTGTACTTTCTTGAAGTCTGGCCCAGGGTTAGGACCAGACAGCTCACCCCACTGTGCTGTGAGCACGAGGCCATCGCTGCAGACCCAAGAGAGACTGCTATTACTCTGAGCTTGCGTGCTTGCCAGCATGTCTTGGGATCTACCCAGGCTTGATTATTCAGGAACTAGTTAGATGTGAAATGAAGAAAATATGCCCTCTGTATTTTTAATTTTCTCTTGTTTAGAGAGATTTTTGCTGTAGGGTTTGCACGCTCACTAGAGAGACAGACAGACAAAGCAAGATGTCATCCCCCGGGGAATGGCCACACCGTAATCCCTTCTCTTCCATTCTTGTCTCAAGACTTTGGGCACGCATATACATGCACCTGGTGTGAGTTTTGGGTCTGGGACACTAACAGCAGCTGACTATGTGGGCGTCTAACAATGTAACCATTACATCATCCGCTGGTCCCAGCCTTCTGTATTTCTTATACTGGATTAATCCCTGCCACTTTTACCTTTAACTTACAAAGTCTGTGTTGCTTATGAAGAGTAAGTTACTTTTACTGCTGGTGACCGGCTCCACTGAATCCGATTCACTCTGTGCTGTAAACTTGCTCCCCAGTGCCTCAGGTTCTCCAGAGCTGCACGGCGTTCATCGAGAAGTATGGCATTGTGGATGGGATCTACCGTCTCTCTGGCGTGGCCTCCAATATCCAGAGACTACGGTAAAACCTTCATGGCGTTTCCTTCTTCATTCCTGTTTAACTCTCGGAAATGAATTGTTTCAAAATGGAGTCCCTTACTTTGATAACCGTCAGTTTTAGTACGACAGTTGAGATGAAGTCGAAAGTAATGTCCACATTGTGACCCGTGGATGTTTTCCTAAACGGCATTTCCTTATCAGAGAACCACGCGTTTCCCTGTCTAGTAGTTAGAGTTTGTCTGGTGTTTGAAGATTTCAGCAAGTCGGGTCTGACTGGATGAGAAGCGTAAGAGATGAATTTATGTAATGACAAGATTGCTCTTTAGAGCCTAATTGAAGTGGATAGGAGTATCACTGCTCCTGACCTCTGAGCCTGATTCTGCGGAATACATCCCAGTGCGCGTCTGTTCCGCAGTCCACATCCCCCGTCTTCTCCGGAGCAGGAGCAGTGGTGCTCTCGCCCCAGCAGTGGAAATGCTGCCTTCTCTCCTGGAGTCTAAGGCAGTCCGTGATAAGCCGCTTCCCTTCCTTTTTCACGGTGGTACGTGGCAGCCGCCATGGCTTTGTAGTGGTCGCAGTATTTTAGTTCACCACAGAGCTTGCCTCTGTTTCGGGAATCCCCGTTTGGAAGATAATTACGTTGGCTCTTGTGCAGCAAGTGACCAGTCTGCAGCCTCGATGCCGTGGCTCTCACACGTGGACTGTCGCACATGCTGGCCCTCTGCTTAGGAACCAGGGGTCTCATGCCTGTGAATTAATAGTAACCACCCCTGCATAGCGAACTCCCCACCCGAGTATTCCGAGCCTCACTCATCTCACGCTCTCTGAGGCTAGTGTTTTACTGCCATTCAAGTTTGCTATTAGCTGGAATCGCTTCGTGCTGTTTCTGGCTCCCTCCTGCGTCAGGAAACTCCCCTTGAGCGGTGTGACAGGTGTGTCACGATGCAGCCTCGTCATTGCTCACGGGCCGGTTGCCACTCAACCTTGGCAAAATCGCCAAAATAGTGGGTACTCAAACAGTTAGAAATGAGGAGTCTGGAGGCCAGCAGGTAACATGGTGGTTAAGGTGTGGGACTGCCACATAGCAGATGGTGGTTAAGGTGTGGGACTGCCACATAGTTGACTGCGGCTCGTGTCCCGGACCCAGCGGCTTGAAACTCACACCTAGCACGTGTGTGCCCAAAATCCCGAGAGGAGAATGGAGGAGGAGATTGCCACATGGCCATGCCCCCGGGAGTGATCTCTCCCTTTCTCTCCCTCCCACGAGCACATGCACGCTATAGCAAAAAAGCTCCCTGGGAAAAGAAAGAGAAAACAGAAACGAGCAGTCTGCTTCCAGGTGGTTGTGCTGTCAGCTGCTCATTTGAAGGTGTTTCGGAGGCTGTTGTCCATTTTAACGTTAAAGCCACACCCCCAGTTCCCAGGTGGAAATGCAGCTGTCTTAGAAGACCCAGTGACGGCTGAAGTCCAGATGTAACCCAGATGAAGTAGAGATGGCTAGAGGAAAACAGCAGCTCTCCAAGGCCTCGCCACGTTTCTCGCCTGCAGTGAGTGACTCTGCTTCACCCCCTTCTGTCTTTAGTCACGAATTCGACTCCGAGCACGTCCCCGACCTGACGAAAGAGCCTTACGTGCAGGACATCCACTCGGTGGGCTCCCTGTGCAAGCTGTACTTCCGAGAGCTTCCCAACCCTCTGCTCACCTACCAGCTCTACGAGAAGTTCTCTGTGAGTGCCCGTGGCGTCCGCGCGTTCTTCCCAGAGCCTGGGGCCGTCCGCTCAGACGTGCGAGCCTGTTCACGTAGTCCAGTGACCAGAATGGCTCCTTAGAGAGACGGTCTCTGCCACGCGTCTCGTCTCAGCTGTGCCCGCGCTGTCGTTCCGCCTTAGAGCCGCTCACCTCATCGCCCTTCGTCTTGGCTACCGCTAAGCTTTTTGAAGCTTATATTTGAGGGGCTGGCAGGTAGCATGGTGGTTATGAGCACAGGACTCCCACATGGCCAACTGTGGTTCGAGTCCTGGACCTGGCAACTTGCTTTCTCACTTTCCCTCTCCCTGTCTTCTCTCTCTCTGTCTGTCCCTCTCTGGTCAAATTAAAATAAATAAAGTTAAATAAAATAATTCTTTTAAAAAATTATATTTGAGGGGGCCAGTAGGTGGTATAGGGCTCAGGCTCTGGGCTCTCACATGGCTGACCGAGGTTCCTGCCCCGGACTGGAGGCTTGAAACTCATGCTGGGCACGTGTGCATGCATGTCCCAAATCCCAATAAGACAATGGAGGAGAGGGGATTATGGTGTGGCCCTCCCTCCCAGAGAGTGATTTCTCACTTTCTCTCTCTCTCTGGTGTGCACCCTATGGCAAAAACCTAAAATACATGTGTGTGTGTATACATGTACATATTACATGCATACACACACACACAGTAGATTTCAGAGTCGCGCCCTGTGGGGGAAGTTCTCCGTTGAGTCCAGGTGGGAACTGCTCATCATGGAGCATCGGGTGAAGTGAGCTGATCTGAGAGCTAAGGCCGGGTGTAAACGGCACGCTTCAGCTTACCGACAGAGCCCGCTGGGGGCTCGCCTTGTGACTGTTGCAGGACGCTGTCTCCGCCGCCACAGACGAGGAGAGGCTCATGAAGATCCACGACGTGATCCAGCAGCTGCCCCCACCGCACTACAGGTGAGCTCAGTGCTGCGCAGCCCGGGCACCGTGGACGGCCGTGCAGGCATCTCTCTTGGCTCCTGGGGAGGCTGACCCATCCACGTAGTTCACGAATGTGCATGTGTTCTATTACTCGCTATTCACCGTTCTATTACTCGCTATTGGCCCAGTGCCTGGCCGTCCCGGAGGTGCGTCCCTGTTGGAGGAGTGACCGCCTAGCCCGCGCTGTTGTTTGTTTGAGTTTGTGGTTAACTGGTTTGTTGTTGCTTTCTTTTTTTTTTTTTTAATAGAGGTTTTTGCCTTAGGGCGCATACACTCATCAGAGAGAGACAGAGACAGAGAGAGGGAAAGTGAGAGATCGCCCCCAGCGGGGATGGCCACACCACAGTTCTCCAGGGATCTTGGGCACACACACACGAGCCCGGCATGACATTGAAGCCACTGAGTCCGGGAGTCAAACCCAGTTGGCCATATGGGAGTCCAGTGCCGCAACCCCATGCCGTCTGCCGGCCCCGTTGCTGCTTTTTAAACCTGAGCCACATGGCACTTCTGACTCGGGAATCTTGTCGTCTATGTCTGAGAAGACTAGAGTGAGATGGAGGATAGCTCTGGCATTCAGCGAGACAAACAGAACAGTGGCACTGCATTGTCGGGTGCAAATCAGCCGAAGATCTATGTGTAAAATTCAGTAGCTGACGAATTAAATCTAGTTGTTCTACGAATGTACGAATGAAGTATTTAGTGCTTTTTTATTTTTTCAGAATGATGCCGCTTACTGATATATTATAAAAGTCATTTCATTCAGCCCTGAATCAACACTGATGTTTTTTCTCTTTTTCAAGAGAGATTTTTACCATTAGGACATATGCACTTGCCGTGGAGACAGAGACAGACAAAAATCTAGAACGCACCCACAGGGGTATGGCCATGCGGCAGTCACACGCCTGGTGTGAGTTTCAAGCTCTAGGTCCAGGCCTCAGACTGTGGTCAGCCATGTGGGTGTCCAGGACCTTAGCCACGGTGCCACCTGCTGCCCCAAGCACTGACATTGTTAATCCCTGTTGAAAGTCGGTGTGTCTTTAATCAGCGCTGTGGGTACCATGCACGGCAGGCTTAGGCCGAAAGTTGCTGAGCTGTGGCTCATTGTGGTGTTCACGGAGCCTGACTTACAAGGAGGTGTAGAAATTAAAGAGGATTACAGTCTTTTGGAGAATAGAAAACGAAAAAAAAAAAAAAGAAAAAAAACTCAAAAGGAAATCAGAGAGCTTCTGTGAGATAAGTTAAAGGAAATTGAGGTACTTAGCCCTAGGAGAAAAGGCTGAGGTGAAAGGGTTATCTATCAGTGGGTAATTATATGGGGTACCTGTAAAGGGGTGAGAACTCCAACTTAGAAAAGGACCTGCTGCAGTATAGACAATATTGGCCTTGATCAATAGCCCACTGCCTGTGTGAGTTCACTAGCATCATCCTTCACATCTGTGAGCAGAATGCTAGTGATACCTTTTTAAAAGACTGCTGCTTTAATGACAGACTGCGTGAATAAGCCTGGTCCTTACCATGTTGTTGAATCGTTGGAAAAGTCATGAAGCGTTTTTGCATGGAAAGTCATGACTTCCGACGACCCAATAGTTTTAAACAAAGCATAGATTTAAGCAAGGTCTCTTATTTCGGTCATTTTACATGGGATATTATGTAAGTATACCTTTTTTCCTTCACATTAAAACAATCGTCAATGTAATACAGTTTTTAAAAGTCAAATGGCGTGGGGACCAGCAGTTAGCGTAATGGCTATGTCGCTGGACTCCCATGTAGTCTACCATGGTTCACGTCCCAGACCCAGTGGCTTAAAACTCAGACCGGGCGCGTGTGCGTGCGTGCCCAAGATCCCAAGAGGAGAATGGAGGAGAAGGGATTGCGGCGCGGCCATCCCCCCTGGAGGGTGATCTCACTTTCTGTCTATGTCTCTCTCTGTCTGGCGAGTGCACGCGCCCTATAGCAAAAACCTTTCCCAAAAAAAAAGTCAAATGGCATGCAAAAGGGACAATGAGAAATAGCAGTTGGCTTCTCCCCACCTCCCATGTCCCTTTCCCCTTCCCTGAAGTTCTCAGCTCTCTCACTCCCACTCTTCCTTCTGGAGTCCATCCCTGTTTCTAAACAGTGAGCTTACACAGCAATGTCCCGATGTTCCGTTTTCTTATATGATTGGTCGCATTCCTTTTACAGTAAATGAGGGCTTGGCACACCCACACCCTTCCTTCTCAGTCTCCTTCACAGTCCGGCCCCACCGTGTCCGTAGCGAGGTCAGTGGTCAGTGTGTGCGTTCCAGGGGCCACGTGACCACTGCTCGCTACCACCCGAACGGTACCCTCTGATTATTTCCTTCCTGGCACGACTGTGTGTGTTTTGCCTGGTGTCGTTGCCCAGTGTCATTGCCTGGTGGCTTGCTAAGTTCTATTTGGTGCTAATTTATCCCCCAGGCTCTAAAAACTATGTGCAGGGTCTTCAGAAAGTTCACGGAAAATGTGTGTGACAAAGCATCGATTTAATTTTTTTCTGCATCAAAATCAACTTGTACTTCAATTTTATCTTTTTCCGCAAGCTCTTTGAAGTCTTATAAGCGTTCTCAGCATGTTAAGACACATCAAGTCACACCTTTTTCCTTCTTCTTTCTGAAAGCATCCCTTCCAGGACTTTCTGTCTCCCTCTTCAGCCCAGGCCCATCATCCTCTAGACCCACAGTGATGCACCCACCCCAGCCCTCTACCCTCCCCCAGGAATTCCGTTCAACCCCTCCTCTGCAGGCCAGCGCTGCAGCTCAGCAGCTGAGTTGGGCCTCACATAGACAACCACGGTTTGAGTCCTGGACCAGTCATTTTAAAAACATAACACTGTGCCAGTCGGTGGTATGGTGGTTAAGGTGCTCGACTCTCACATGGCTGACCAAGGTTCGAGTCTTAGGCCCAGCGGCTGGAAAATCATGCCAGGTGTGTGTGCGTGCATGCCCAAAATCCCAAGAGGAGACTAGAGGAGAAGGGATTATGGCACATACTCACGCCCAAGATCTCAAAGGATGGAGGATTAGAAGGGAAAGGATGGAGCTCGGCCAGTTCCCGTTGGAGGGAGTGGGGCTTCCTCTCTCGTTGAATTAAATGAAACTCTGTGAAAGCATCTTGAACAATGCTGGCTGGGACGTTGTCTTCCCCTTTTCAAATCCATGTAAGGCCCATCCGAGTCTTTGTGGCTCATACGTAGACTGTGGTTTAGCTTTCATCACCATTCCAAATAATAGAAGCTTAAATCTCAGTCAATGTCTTTAATTGTTTTAATCCTTCCATATTTAGGTAGAAACACTGTAAGTGCCCAAAATCCCATAATAGGGGTGCGTGTGTGTGCGTGTGCGTGTGCGTGTGCATGCGTGTGCACACTCGTCATGAGTGTTTATGGTTCAACTTGTATTTAAGGTAATCCTGCTTTATTTCCAAAAACAATCTGTTCTGTTGTTTAATATATATATATATATGGAATTACTATTACTTTTATTAAGAGGTTTAGTTACATGTGTTTGTCAGAGAGAGAGAGAGAGAGAGAGAGGGGCAGAGTTAGTGAGAGGGAAAGTGAGAAATCACACACACACACACACACACACACACCCTCCGGGGTATGGCCATGCTGTAATCCCTAATCCCTTTTCCTCCTGGGATCTTGGGCATGCACGCCCATGCACCTGGCATGAGTTTCAAGCCACCTGGTCTGGGACTCAAACTTCAGTCAGCCATGTGGGAGCCCAGCGATGTCACCACTATGCCATCTGCCAACCGCTCTGTGGGATTATTTAAATAAAGCGCATTCTGGACAGGTGAGGAAACCCAGATACTGGGATCTGAAGTGGACTCTATTCCAGAAGTACCGGATTTGGTCACTTATTCCCACCTCAATGCCTGTTGGAATTCTCGCTTGAATGTTTTCAGATTCGTGAGACAGTGTTCTCTTCCATATCAATAGAGCTGTTTCAGTCCCCTCCCGTTGGCGTGTCTGCTGCGCAGAGAACAGCAGGACCTTGGAGGACTGTCTGGCCCAGAGACTGGCTCCTGTGGAGGGTCCCTTCTGACCATAGTTAAAGCTGTGGGGCTCCACATGGTCCCTTCCTCCACTTCCTAGCGAAAGCGCATGGATGGGTGGTGGCTTCCCGCTCCTGCTGACCTGCTGCGTCTCCCTCCACAGGACGCTGGAGTTCCTCATGAGGCACCTGTCCCTGCTGGCCGACTACTGCTCCATCACCAACATGCACGCCAAGAACCTGGCCATTGTGTGGGCGCCAAACCTGCTGAGGTAGCTGCACCCCCTTGGGCCTTTAGAAGAATGAATTTCTCACTTCTAGAGATTTTTGCTATGGGTAATGTGACAGAGAGAGACAGAGAGCCAGAAAGCGAGTAATCACCCCCGTCCCCGGGGGGCATGGCTGCCCCACAATTTGTTCTCCTCCATTCTCCTCTCAGGATTTTGGGCACACATGCACATGTGCCCGATGAGAGTTTTAAGCCAGGTCTAGGACTTGAGCCGCAGTCAACTGCATAGGGGTATAGCAATGCAACCATTACACCATCTACTGGCCCCTGAGAACTAACTCTTTTCATTAAGCATCAATTCATCAGCCTTCCCTAGGAACACGTGTTAAAAGTCACGGAAGTCTGTTCTTTGTCCTGAGCTCTCCGTTAGACAGGCAGCCGGGGCTTAGCTGAGGGCCGGCACGGGAGTGCTTTCTTCTGGTTTGCCTGCGATTTACACAAGCGGCACTCCCGGGCTGTCCCTGTGGCCCTGGTGAGAGTGCCATTGACTTTGCAGATCAAAGCAGATCGAATCTGCCTGCTTCAGCGGTACCGCGGCCTTCATGGAGGTGCGGATCCAGTCCGTGGTGGTCGAGTTCATCCTCAATCACGTCGACGTGCTCTTCAGTGGCAAGATCAGCGCGGTCCTGCAGGAGGGGGCAGGTACGGCGTCCCCGAACCTCCAGAGGACGGGATCTGCACTTCCCTCTTGGTTACAGAAACGTGTCACTGACAGAAGGCAGCTGGCTTACATCGGCTTGCCAAAGTGCGCGGATCGGTGGTTGCTTGTGTTGAATACTGCGCGTTTGACCGACTGTGATGGAAGTTCGGGCATTAAGAAAGCAAGCTACTCACACGTTATTGATATATATGTATGTTAGTATGTAAAGATATAATATAGAGCAAAAGGAGAAAAAATATTTTTTCAAACTCCAAATATGTGACCAATCACCTTTTCTGGTGTCTTTTAAAAAGAAAGAAAAATAAGTTGTTCGTGAATTTCAAATGAATCCATACGTATTTAACGTAAGTGTGCCCCTTTTACCAACCTGATGTGTCACTTCTGTTCCTCACTGACTATGAAATACCATGTGATTTGCCATTTACAAAACTTGAGGAGGACGCTTGGAGCGGCTCCGCTGGGTCAGGAGAGGGACAGGCATGTAAGCAGGCTGACGCTCTCACCCCCGCTGCCTCCCTTTTCCCTCCTGAAGCTTCTCTGTCGCGGCCCAAGTCTCTGATGGTGTCATCCCCGTCAACCAAGCTGCTGACCCTGGAGGAGGCCCAGGCACGGACACAGGCTCAGGCCAACTCTCCAGTCGTGACGGAAAACAGATACATCGAAGTCGGAGAGGGACCTGCTGCACTGCAGGGGAAATTCCACACCATAATTGAGTTCCCACTGGAAAGGTTAGAATTCATTAAATCCTTTTTGAAAAATATGATTTCTATAGCTGCATGTTTTTGTTTTGTTTTCAGTTTGCTTTTACTCTTGCATTTTCATATTTGCTACACCAAACTCTGGAGCCATCATGGCAAGTGTCTATCTGGACGTGGATGGTACTGGCCCTGAGTAGTGGACGGGACAGGTGCCTCTGGCAGAGCGAATTGTACAGGGACGTTGTCAGGAGATGGCGTGGGGCCCTGAGATGTGTTGTTTGGGAATTTGGTCAACAGTAAGCCGTGCTAGGGCAGCTTACTCAGGCGAGCCCTGGAGAGTGCCTGGTCTGAATCGGCTCCATGTGACGTCCAGGCAAGATCTGTGGTTCCCCAGGTGTGGACCCTCGGCCCAGACTGCACCGCCAGGACACTGTCAGCTGCTGCGGTGCACTGCAACACCGGGCCCACGTGGGAAGGGTGCGGGCTTGTGTCGAGAACTCCCTGTTCACACCCCAGGTACCCAAGTGACTGAGGCTGGCATGGGTCAGGGTACAAAGCCCTTCTGAGAGTCTCTCTCTCTCTCTCTATCTATCTCTCAGAAGAAATAAAACTTGTAAACTTGTTTAAAAGGAAATGCAAATTATTTAGACACATTGAATCAAGGGCAGGGCCTGGGAGTGGGACAGAGCAATCAGTCTTTTCCATTTTAAAAAAGATTTTATTCTTTGTGAGAGAGAGAGGAGGCACCCTCGGCAGCTCTTGTCCCATTATCATCCTGTACCACAGTCCTCGTGCCAGTCAGGGCTGTGGGTGCACGGGCCCGGTGTTTTACTGGTCGGCCTGGGACCTGTCCCCGTGGCCAGCCATGTGGCTTCCAGCGCTGCAGGTCAGTGCACATCTGCTGCCACCGAGGCAGGACCGCGGTCGGCTTCGGTCAGGCTTCCCAGGAGTTCTGAGCGCCAAAACTTGAGAGCCCTGCAGTTTGCTCCCTCCGCGTCCCTTCTGAGTGCCACCGTGGTTTCCGTCCCCTCTCTCCCAGACCACAGCAGGGAGACTAGCAAACGTGAAAGCTGCTGTTGTGTCTCTGATGCTGCTTGGGCTTTCACCCATAAATGTGAGGGTGGGCTGTCTGGATTGGGTAGTGCAGATGCAACTACAGTTTGTTCTTTCCATATTTTAGTTTATTCCGGTAGCTTTTTTCACTTCCCATGATTAAAAACACCGTTGGTGAGGAGTGGGCGTGCTCTCACGTTGCCTTCCGAGCTTGTCTCTGGCGTCATGGTTTTGTATTTGAGCTCCACAATCTCCTCAAAAGTTTCTTCAGAGAGGAGTGAAGAGAGCAGACGCTCAGCCCTGACTCAGCCTTACGGTTTTGTCACGGAGCCCCACGGTGTGTCACCCCCACCTGAAACGAGAGGAACGGCCCCTCCCTCGCGGGTCTGCCTGGCTTCCGGAGCAGCTTCCCACCACGGGCCGTCGTGGCGCCTGGCCGTCAGCATGCGGCATTTTCCTAATACTTTTCTCTTTTCTGCCTCCCCTCTGTCTACTTCCACCTAAAATCATGTCCTACAATTCTGCTTTCTTTGGGGAAGCTTAATATTTTCTACTTGCAGATCTACCTTATTCCCACTTGCGTTGCCCGTGGCGAGGTTGGGTATAAGTATGACGTACACACGTGTGTGTGTGTGTCCTGGAGATGCTGTCCTCGCTGTCCGTCCAGGGGCAGCTGCGCAGGCCGAGTGCCCTCCGGTGCGGTGTCTGCTCATTGCCTCAGCTCTGCAAGAAAAGGGAGACCCTTGGCCAGTTTAATACTGATCAGTTGTCTTCTTTCTCATAGAAAGAGGCCTCAAAACAAGATGAAAAAATCTCCCGTGGGGAGCTGGCGCTCCTTCTTCAACTTGGGGAAGTCATCGTCCGTTTCCAAGCGCAAGTTACAGCGTAACGAGAGTGAGCCCTCGGAGATGAAGGCCCTGGCCATGAAGGGTGAGTGCCGTCCACCTGCAGGCCATGTGAGGGGCCTACCCCCTCCGGCCCGCGACACCCTCTGCTCCGGTCTCCCACTGGGCTGATGGCGTGGCCACGGCCATCGGCTTCCATGGCTTTTGGCAGTTCTTTACCCTACTTGAAAGTAATACAGTTCTGTACAAATATGGAGAAGGCTCGCTTCTTAGGGGAGTTCTGTGGGTCACATGTTGTGTGCCTGTGATGAAAAAGCCATATGTGTGTGCAGCCCAGCTCGGATGTGGCTGGTGGAAATAGCATGCGGTGTTTCGATTTATCGGCCCTTTTCTGTATGTATTTTAACGAGTGACTATTCAACATAGCTTCCAAGTTTATGATGCAAACAACCAGAAAAGCTGTCTTTTCTTAGGCGATTCACTGATGAGACTGATCTTACTGGATCAGTTACATCTATTACTGTTGAAAAACACTCTTTTAAAAATAGTTAAAAAAACCCTTATTCGGCTGCCATGAATAGCTTCCGAACCCAGGCGGGAAGGTGGTACTCCATGTCGGAGCCTTGTTTACTCCTGCTCCCCTCCGGTTTAGGCAGGTGCTCGGCGCGAGCTCGCTGTCTGCTGCAGGCTCTGCTGGCAGGTGTCCGCCACAGGCCCTGCAGGGAGAAAGAGCTGCAGACACTGCCTTTGCCTCCCAAGTCCGGTGGGAGTCTGTGGGCCAGAAGATACACCTGAGCGCAGACTCACAGCCTTCGACATAGAGGTTTATGCGAGGCAGAGATGGTGGGACCTGTCAATTCTTGCCAGGGAAGTAGGGGCTCGCATTAAGGGCGATGTTGCAGGGAAGGGCAGGTACGCAGAGAAGCTTATGGGGGCTGACTTCTGGAGAAGAGCAGCCTTAGGGAGAGAGGAGTCAGAGTCGCCTTGAGAGGAGAGCAGGGAGAGGTGACCCGAAAGGTGACCAGGGACAGAAGAGATGGGTGCCACGCCTGCGGGGAGGAGGCCGGAGGGGAGTGTAGGCAGCCTCAGGTGGGCGAGGGAGATACTGAGCAAGGAGGATTTGCACATGCAGCACGCCCCTTACCCACGCGGGTGCGTCCCAAGACCACAAGATGCCTGAAACCATGAACAGGACCGAACCGTCTGTCCACTGCGGTTTTCCTCACACATACCTACCTGTGGTCGAGTTTCATTTATAAATTAGGCACAGTGCGAGATTAACAACAGCTTGTAAAAAAAAAAGGGAAATGGAGCGATTCGACAACATGCCAGAACAAAAGGTGAACGTGCACCCCTTTCTCTCAGCACACCTTGTAACGGGTGGGTGACCACAGTGCCCGTGCTGCTCCCTGGAGCTGCCTACCGGTCCCCGCATGCTGAGTGACTGCAGACGCCCCAGCTCTGCCCCTGTAGTTCCGGATGCTCAGTCTGAAATGCACGGCGTGGACAGGGCCACATCCGCTTCAGTGCTCCACGAAGGACTTTTGCTGCCGCCTCCAGCCCCTGGGGGCTCCTGGCATTTCTTGGCTCGCAGCAGCCTCACTCCAGCCCCTGCCTCCACCTTCTCCTGACAGTCTGCCCTGTCTTTCTGTTTCTCTCTCACTCTCGTAAGGACCCTTGTCATGAAGTATGGGGCCCGCCCTGACTGCAGTATGACAGCTTCAGATGGCTCGCTGCCCTTAGGAAGCGTGCAGAAAGAAGTCTAGTTCTCTGCGCGAGCGTGCATCCTTTAGGAGAGGCTGAGGTGATCGCGCTAGGTGGCGGCCAGCGAGTGATGTGGCCGTCAGCATGTGCAGCTTGTCACCCTGGAGGCTCATACCTGCAGCAGGAGAAGCGCTGAGCCCCTGGAACCGCGGGTGTAAGAAGCAGACAGCTCAGCGCTATTCGTTCTGGTTTCCAGGTGGCCGGGCAGAGGGGACTCTGCGCTCAGCGAAAAGCGAGGAGTCGCTCACGTCCCTTCACGCAGTCGATGGTAAGTGGAAAGCACCATCCTCTGAGCCTGCCCCTAGTGCACGAGAGCCAGGCACTCGGGTGTGCTTTAGAAACACGCTCGTAAGTAGGCTGTCGAGGGACCAGCAGATGGCATAATGGCTGAGTCGCTGGACTCCCGTGTAGTTGACTGCAGTTCAAATCCCGGACCCGGTGGCTTAAACTCACACCAGGCACATGTGCGTGCGTGCCCAAGATCCCGAGAGGAGAATGGAGGAGAAGGGATGGCAGGGTGGCCATCCCCCCTGGGGGAGATTTCCTGCTTTCTGTCTCTGTCTGTCTTTCTGGTGAGCGCACACACCTTATAGCAAAAACTTCTCAATAAAAAAACAACCAAACAAAAAAGGAAAAACAGCAGTAGGGACAGAAGCCTTGTTGCTGTCATGTCCTGGAGTGCTGCTTGGCTCACAGACGTGAGGGCGGTGAGGAGTGTGGCCCTGAGACATGGCAAGCTCGAGCAGAATTGCCGGGAGTCCGTGCAGGGCCGCACCGGGAGTTGCGGGTCCCCGTTGCCGTCCAGACCCGGCGTGCCACACCGCCCTCCAGTCGTCCTACTAGGTGGGGACGTTCCCATTAGGCTGGAAGCTCGTGTCGTTTTGTTACTAGCCTCTGTGTGCCAGGGCAGTTTCTCCTGGAGACCAAGAAGCAGCACTCCTTGTCCTGGGTAGGAAACAGCTCAGTGACTCCTGGTGCCGGCTGCCCTTCTGCGGTCGCGCTTTGACGTTGTTGTCCGCTTTTACCAGGTGACTCTAAGCTCTTCCGGCCCAGGAGACCCAGGTCCAGCAGCGACGCGCTGTCGGCCTCGTTCAGCGGAGACGTGCTGGGGACCCGCTGCAACTCCTACGACAACCTGCCCTGCGAGCACAAGAGCGAGGACGGGCTGTCGCACGTCCCGGTGCTCCTGTCTCCTCACTGCACGGAGGACGTCGACTTGAGCCCGCCCGACATCGGGGTGGCCAGCCTGGATTTCGACCCCATGTCCTTTCAGTGTAGTCCCCCGAAAGCTGAGTCCGAGTGTCTGGAGGGTGGCGCTTCCTTTTTGGATTCTTTCAGCTACTCCAGGGAGAAGCCGAGTGCTGGTAAAAAGGACGGAGAAGCTGGTGGGAGCCAGTCTCAGACTCCGGGAAGCACAGCAAGTTCTGAACCCGTGTCTCCTGTTCAGGAGAAACTGAGTCCCTTCTTCACCCTGGACTTGAGCCCTACGGAGGAGCAGTCGTCTAAGCCATGCTCACTTACCGAGAAGGTCGTCTGCGCTTTCTCTCCCAAGATAGGACGGAAACTAACCAAGTCACCATCTCTGAACATATCCGAGCCCATCTCAGTGACCCTTCCACCCCGGGTGTCTGAAGCCATCGGTGTGGTCACAAACCCTGCAGCGCAGAACACGGCGCCGCCAGCCTGGGACAGAGACGCCGAAGACAGTGCAGGCACGAGCAGATCCCCCACCCAGGTAGCAAAGGTGAAGACCAGTGACAGAGAGGCCCAGGAGGGCTGTGAGCCCACAGGCCAGGCCCCGGACCAGGCAGCTTCTGGGGAAACAGAGCTGCCAGGGCAAGAGGAGCGGCCCGACCCGAGCAGTCAGAGTAAGGCCGTAGGCCCTGGACAGACGCAGACAGGTACCGTGTGCTTCCTTCCCTCCTTCCTTTAAGTTAGGCGGACCTTCCGCCGGTGGGCCGCCTGTGCCTTATGAGAGGGACCGCTCCGCGGCCCGTCTTTAAGCAAAGAGATGTGTTTCTGGGGCGTG